GGGGGGGGGGAGAACGTTTCTGAGTATGACACCCACGACCAAAACTCTATAAGGAAAGGCTGCTTGACATGATCATAGAACCATTTGTGCCAAGATCAAATGACAAAAGGGATAAAAAATGCACTAATGTACATCTGACATACATATATGAGGGTTTTAAACATTCATCGAAAACAGAATTAAAATACAGTAACACTTTTCCACAAATTTCTCCTCATACACTCATGAAAATTGTTAAAATTTCCATTACAGATTAACAAATCAGTAAAAAAATCAATCTCACAGAAGAAAAACTGCAAGTCACAAAAAACACTAAAAGCCAGTGAACATGTGGTAGGTTCAATTTCACTAATAAATAGAAAATTACACCTATTGGGAAGAACTTAAAAAATTGAAACTGTTGCGGGAACCCAAGAGGCAAGCGAATTTTGGGAATGATGAGGGCAACAAATGTACAGATGTGCTCTACATAATTGATCTATGTATTGTGATGAATTTTATGAGCCCCAGTAAATTGATTTAAAAAAACAAAAAACAAAAAAAAACCCACAAATGTGCTTGACACAATGGATGTATGTATGTATGGATTGTGTTAAGAGCTTTAGGAGCCCCCAATAAAATGATTAAAAATAGGAAAAAAAAATTGAAACTGTTGTCAGATTGGAAAAAGACTAAATCTTTTTTAAGATAAGAGCTGACAGACTTGCTAGAAAAATGGTACTTCTTTAAACTATTAGAAGAAATATAAATTGGCAAAGAATCTTTTGTAGGAAAATGTAATAACATCCAGAATTTTAAATGACACACCCTTTAACTAGAAATTCCTTTCTAGACAATTATCATACTGATAAGCTCATATAAACGCAGAAGGATGTATTTATATAAGGATTATACTTTAGAATTATTTGTATCAGCAGAAAACATAAAATAAACTAAATACCCATAAGTAAGAGGCTAAACTAAGAAAACTACTGCTAGAAATAACAGGTAAATTTATCAAACACTTACCTCTAAGTACTGTGTTCTGAGTGTTTTATCTACTGTACTTCACATAGTCATGAAAAGCTTATGAGCGCGATCACTCTTAATAAAAATGGAAACCAAAGAACACGAAGCCTTGCCCAAAGTGACACGTTGACTATCAAACACCAATACACTCATACATGAATTCATATATTATTCCAATTTTTTGCTGTGACAATTTTAAAGTGTACATCCATATGCATACAACTTGCTGCGCTCATCTGAGTTTATAGGATAATTCCATATATCCTCAAAATATATTTTAAAGTAAAAAAAAAAAAAACCCAAGGTAAAAAAGCATGTAAATGATCTAATTTGTGTCAATGAGGAGAAAAAGGAAAGTGCATCCTTATCTATACAGCACCTTCCTGGAAGATTCACGAGACTAACAGAAACAGATGCATAGGCCAGGAGAGCTGACTACTGATGGGGAGAGAAAGGATTTGGAACACAGGTGGGAAGAAGGGGTGACAGTGTTCCTTTATACCTTTCTGAATAGTATAAATTCTTGGTATCACAAAGATGTCTTCAAATCCTGCCTTAAAAAAAAATCATAGTTGGTGTTGACTAGGGTGTGAGCAGAGACTACAGATGCAAGCATCAACTAGTGTAAGACACTTACAGAGCTAGTTGGTAATCTATTTGAAAAGTCTGAAAAATATACTTAGTCGTTGCCTTAGAAATCGTGCTTCTAGAAATTTTTCCAAAACAAGTAATCACAAATTATCGCCGGCAGTTCCTGGATTACACATAATCCTGTTTATTGCACACAGCCCACAGTTACAAACAGCCTCCATAAAGCCCATCTTAAAAATCCAGGTACATACCCTGGTCGCTAATGAATGGGTATTTTTTTATGACATGCATCAAAATATTACTCCTTTTTTAGTGTATCTGGAAATATTTCTTTAATATTTTTCTACACAGAAAGGTACGTTCTATTTACCATATGAGACAAACACTTGACTGACTTTACTATCATCAGTAAAGAATTTATTTGAAAAATATTACAGCTCAGCAAACCAATGGAAAATTATACAGCTAATAATAGTGATACAGGACTCTATGTTTTGACCTAGAGAAATATATTGTTAAGAAGTTGCACATTAACGCATAGGAAATTCTAATAGCTCGTGCGAAAATTCTATTATCTTTTAATTCCATTTTTCCCCAAACTTAATGCCACTCATTTTGTATTACTTCAAATAATTTAGGCAAATACTAATATGAGTACATTTTTATTCTTAAATAATTTTGCAATTATTTATTTAGAATAGATACATTTATTTATAATGTTTAGAAGGAACTACTATTTAAAAAAAACAAACCTAAGATCGTTGTATCAAGAAAGGAGGCAGAGTTAAGACTTCATGAAGAAAGCTGTCCAGCTGCGAAGTCTCTTCAGTTCTATAAATCAGCTGACGTAACAATTAAGGGCCTATAACTGACTGGATAGAAAAGCGATAAATGCAAACACCGCTGAGACTTTCTCTCTTCTCATTAAATGCTTATATGTAAACTTACCTCTTGCCTAGAAAGAGTCATGGGTAATTTCTCCTCTGCCAGTTCAAGTTCTAATACTGGATTTGATGCAGTTAATGGTTTCGGGTCCTCCTCTTTTGGCTGTATCTATATTAATAGCCAAGAAATATGAAAGTCAGCACGGAAGGTATAATATCCTCTATTTTATAGCAGATATATTTGTCGGTAATGTTACCGATTACCTTAGCTATTCATGGAAATCAAGCATGTTTTAATTATTGAAGGTATTCTAAATGTTCATCTAAAGAAAGAGCAAATAATAAATGAGTATGTTTTTCAGAGCTTAGAAAACATCCATTTCAAGGCATCACAAGTAAAAAACATGCGCTTAAGAGGCAACATTCTTACCACACAGATTGGTAGGATCATATGGTTCAAAAAAAAGATAAGAAGGCTGAAACTGGACTGGTTTCTCCCTAGAATCTAAAGAATTTAAGCATTTTTCACAAAGTAAAATTCCACTAATGCTCATTCACTAAGACATGTCACACACACAAAAAACAAAGTCTGAAAAAAGCAAGAATATAGTAGTCCTGTTTCAGTTACTTAAGTTCTTAACGTATACAAGTCAATAGCCCATGTATTTTATTCTAAAAGGCTTTCCTATTCATGGATGCTTTTTTTTTCTCACTAGTACTTTAAAACCTATGCCATGCGCTAGGTTAGTAATACGATTACTAGAATGACAAATGTCTTCTGGAGCTTACTTATTATTTTAAAGTATTACTCAACAAGCTGCCCATGCTGCCCCTAGAGTCGACCAAGGATATATATAAAGTTTAGATAAACAAACGGATTTTGAGCTCACACTTCATTGTAAACTCTAATCAAAGAACAATTAGCTATTTCACTGTGGCCCTGCTGGATATTTGACCTCACCAAGTTCTCTCTGCCACACAGTCATTTCTGATTTATAGCAACCCTAGATAGGGCTGCCCTTGGGTTTCTGGGGCGGTCACTCTTTACGGGAGTAGAAAGTCTCCCCTTTCTCCCAGAGTGGCTGGCGATTTTGAACCGCTGATCTTGCAGTTAGTAACCTAATGTGTAAACCATTATGCCCCCAGGGCTCCTCCTCATGAAGATATCACCATAGACATGAGTACAATGGCAAAGTAAGGCGGAGACATCGGATGGCTTCTGGCTGTCAGAAAGAGCATCTGGGGTCGCAGGCTTGTCTTAAAACAGGCAGCCATCTAAGTGAGATGCAGCTAAATCCTCACAGAATGAGCTTGCGTGATTCAAGATTGTAAATAATAAAATCCAAGACCAGAGGAGGGAATTACATATGAGCTTAAATTCTGAGCACCCAGTGTGCGGGCAGCCATGGATGACAGTGAAAACCTAAAATCTACTTACAGAGTCCCTCCAGACCATTAACTGAAGATGTAACCCGACTTAGAGTTCACTGCAAAGTGGATTACTGCAGCTATAGTTAGGTTAAAATTCAATATATTATTGTTGTTTTCCCTTTTGACCCTTTTTGATTTGTTCTAGTTTCTACTCTGCTTTTGTTTGGCTTGAGGTTTTCCTGTTTTATTTTGTTGTCATTGCAGGGACTTTTGGGTAGGATTTTCTTTATATGAAATCCAGGATTGGGAATCCACAGAGAGTGTAGCTAGATTAATAGTTACTTAGGATTATGACAAGGGAGGTTGGATGGTGGTGGGGAGCTAATAATAATGGGCAAGAATGAAGAAAATGTTCTAAAATTGAAGGAAAAAAATCTGACATGCAAATTCTCATCTAATCCACAATAAGAAAAATTTTAGTTAAGAAGAGTTCTACTTTTTCCTTGAAAAAGGAAAATAACAGTTTTCCAGCAGAAACAGGTGAAACCTCATGCTCCAGTTATTTCCTGTCCCACTGAATGAAAAGTATCCTTCCAAATGCACAGAAGCCCCTACTGGTTATCTAGAGTAACTCCCTACATAGAACTTGCCCACAAATTGAGCTCTGAACCTAAAATAATGGGGAAAAATTAGCAGCACTCTATGCATACTACACAAGGAATGAGTAGACATTCTTGCTCAAATGAACCTGTAGGAAAAACACTCTCTTCATATAGTCTCTTGAATCTGCTGTCTAAATCACAAGTTTAGGAAAACTGAGCTCAACAATATATAAATAAGCCCCACTGTATGGTCTATGAAACGATATTGAAACATGTTTTCCTAACTAACCATAAGACAAACCTAAAATGCTAAAGTTGGAGTAAGATCAAAACATACTATAAGATCAATATTACGGATGAAACCCACACTCAATTAAGATAGGCTATATTATTAAAGTGATATAATCTGTGATTCCATAGTTCATGGTTTACAGATTACAGGTTAAAAACTTAAACTTTCATATATTCACAGGTGGATACAGCATCAAGCCTTAAAAGATGAGGACTAATTTCTATGAAAGAATCACACTCATACATAACTATATTTTTATTAATAAGAAAATGGAAATATTTAAAACAGCTTTAGAAAAAAAAACCTGTGTTTTCTTTGAAAATACAGAAGGGGGGCATTTCCCTAAGGATCCTAGAACGAACGCCCTTCTGCTCATTCCCTGGCAGCTAACAGTGACAGAGAAAAGGCTGGCCTCAGTGTGAGCGCAGTATCTTTACAGGACTCACTGCTTCCACGATAATCTCAACTGAACAAAAACTATTTTAAATTCTTCTCCTATCTGACAAAAAGCCAAAAAGGTTTCAATTCTAAGGATCTGGACAAGCAGCAAACCAGCAGGCTAAACCTAAAAGTGGTTCTTATTTCAGACCCAATTTGAACTAGCCAACACTGGCAAATGCAAGATGCCAGCACAATACTCGTTTCTGAAAAATCTACTCAGTAACTACAGTTGAAACTTATTGTAATGTCCAGATCAGGGAGCACATAAAATCAATATACTCATGAAAAAGATAAAAATACAACTATATATGTTCAGGTTGTGGAAACCCATCCAAAATATAACAACATTTTTCTTTAACATTTGCCCTTTCCCAGCACTACAAAATAAAGCCAAATGCAGGTACATACCATTTGCATTCCTCATGCTTCTTTCTAGAAATGCTAAGCCAGAAAAACAAATTTCCAGAACATTTCCCATTACATGCACAAGATCATTTATTATCTGATATTGATATACCAAAGCAGAAAGCTGATTTCAAACTTATGCCTTGGCAAAAGAATTTTGATAGAACCTCTTAACACTAGTTTGAAAAATTACTAAACAATATATAATCTTTAAAAAAATTTAAACATAATTTCTCCACCTCATCACCTTCAACCTCTCCCAATAAACTTATCCAATAGACTAAACAGTGTTTGAAATGTAATGCCTTATCACCCAAGAACATATAAATGTTAGATGGCACTATACTTGAAGCAAAGAGAGGTACACAGAGCCAAAAGGGATTACTAACAATGGAAACCTAAAAAAAAAATAAAAAATCAATGCTTTAAAATATTTAGCAGAACACAGAGAAAATATCACTGTTAATTCCGTTATGGCTAAATGAATAAAATGCTTGGAACCCTTTAAAAAAAGACTTTGGGAGAAGTAGGAAGAGGGGTGGTGGTGGAGATGAAAATGAGGCAGTATCCGACCCAGGATTTATTTTAAACACAAATAAAATTCAAGCTTTCATCTCAAGCCATTTCATGCTGTCCACAAAAAGCCAAACCATTCCAAGCCAAGTCATGCAAGAATTTTCCTGAATGTATGATCTAAAAATAAAATTGGAGAAAGGAAAAGCGAAAACCAAACCAAAAACTCATACCTCTCCAGATGGCTTCTCATTTATAGGCTAATGTATAATATTGATAAATTGAACAAAGATCAATAATTTTGTCACGGTAACAACAGCTGAATAAATTTAAATTCAGAAATATATAATTTGATGTAAAAGTAAGCATGCATACCTTGTAGCCACATCTTTCAAAATATGCTTCCTCTTCTTTTTTAGCAAGTTCACTACGCTTGAAATATTTTTTGTTTTCCTATTAAAGAAAAAATAAAGTTAATAATATCCATGAGTAAAGTCTTCAGTCCCACGGGGCACTAGTGTCTTTAGAACCCTGAAAACACTCTTCACCATTTCAAGAACTTGGCAAGAACAAACCCAGAGAGAAGGAAACAACAAGTGATCTAAAATTGATGGCAAGGAGTGTATACGTAGGATGCCTGGTGGGGCTTAATTAAATGCAATGTAGCCAAAAGGAATTACTGAAACCTAAATGAAGGTCAAACATGACAGTGGGGCAAGAGGAAAGTAAAAGGAAATAGAGGAAAATACTAGGAGGCAAAGGACATTTATAGAGGTGTAAATACAGGCATGAACGTATGTAAATATATTTATATATAATGATAGGGAAATAGATCTATGTACATATATTTATATGTTAAGTATTAAGGTAGCAGACGGACATTGGGCCTCTACTTGAGTGCTCCTTTAACGCAAGAACACTTTGTTCTAATAACCTGGCATTCTGTGATGCTCACTTTCCCGACACGATCCCTGAAGATAAAATGGGTGCATAAGCAAATGTGAAGAAAGCTGATGGTGGCCGGCTATACAGTATCTGGGGTCTTAAAGGTTTGAAGACAAACAAGTGGCCATCTAGCTGAGAAGCAACAAAAATGGGAGAAGCACACCACCTGAGTGATCATCAGCTGTCAATGGGATCAGGTATCAGGTATCAAAGACCCAGAACACTGTAAGATATGACAAAATAATAATAATTTATAAATTATCAAGGGTTAATGAGGGAGGGGTGAGTGGGATTGGGAGAGAAAAAATGAGGAGCTGATACCAGGGGCTCAGATGGAAAGCAAATGTTTTGAGAATGATGATGGCAACAAATGTACAAATGTACTTGACACAATGGATGGATATATGGATTGTGATGGGTTGTACGAGCCCCCAATACAATGATTTAAAATCAAACGAACAAAATCATATCAATGTGAATGAGAGGGCTAAGTGGAGACACAAAGCCCATCTGTAGACAATTGGATATCCCCTCTCAAAAGCAAGGAAGAGATGAGCCAGTGTAGTACAACACCAAAGAAAACATACAACTTTCTTGTAGTTCTTTAATGTTTCCCTTCCTCTCCCCACTATCATGACCCCAATTCTACCTTATAAATCTGGCTAGACCAGAGCATGTACACCAGCACAGTTAAAAGTAGGGGTCCTCAAACTATGGCCCATGGGTCACATGCGGCCCGCCAAGGACATTTATCTGGCCTGCCAGGTGTTTTTGCCCTGTTTTATTTTTTACTTCAAAACAAGATATGTGCAGTGTGCATAGGAATTTGTTCGCAGTTTTTTTTTTTTAAACTATAGTCTGGCCCTCCAATGGGTCTAAGGCACAGTGAACTGGCCCCCTGTTTAAAAAGTTTGAGGACCCCTGGTTAAGAGCTTGCAAGACAGGGAATGTAGGACAGATAAACCCCTCAGGACCAGCAATGAGAGTAGCAATGCTAGGTGGGTAGGGGGAAGGTTGGGGGAGAAAGGGGGAACCCCCTCTCAGGGGGATGGACAACAGAAAAGTGGGTGAAGGGAGACATTGGTCAGTGTAAGACATGAAAAGATAATAATTTATAAATTATCAAGGGTTTGTGAGGGAGGGAGGAAGGGTGGGGAGGGAAGAAAAAAATGAGGAGCTGATACCAAGGGCTCAAGTAGAAAGAAAATGTTTTGAAAATGATGATGGCAACAAATGTACAAATGTACTCAACACAATGGATGGATGGATGGATTGTAATAAGAGCTGTATGAGCTCCCAATAAAATTATTTTAAAAAACCAAACATATGTACAAATATGCTAGATGTACGAATTGTGATAAGAGCTGTATGAGCTCCCAATAAAATTATTTAAAAAAAAACAAACATATGTACAAATGTGCTTGATACAATGAATGGATGGATGAATGGATTGTGATAAAAGCTGTGAGAGCCCCCCAATAAAATTATTTTTTTAATAAGTAAAGACAATAACACAGGAAAAAAAGAGAGAATTTGGCAAATGTATGGTAGTATAAGGGATGTCCCACAAAGCATGGCCCATTCCAGCACCGTGTCCCATGTGGGACAGAGGAGAACTGGGCCCAGTGTTCCACCAGGCCTTTCTTTCACACTATTTCTAGGTGGACACTAGCCATTGAAATTCTAGTTAGCAGAGACTGTCTCTCTACCACCAGGAACTCCATAAAGCACAGAGCCGTGGTTCGCAACCTTCCTAATGCCACGACCCTGTAATACAGGTCCTCATGTTGTGGTGACCCCGAACCATAAAATGATTTTTGTTGCTACTTCATAACTGTAATTTTGTTACTGTTATGAATTGAACAACCCCTGTGAAAGGGTCGTTCGACAACCCACAGGCTGAAAACCACAGGTTGAGAACCACTGGCGCATACAGCAAAAATTAGAAAGTATCTTTATAATGTAAATGAAAGACTTCAGTGAGAAATTATGTATCACTATCAGTTCATCAATATAACAAATGACCAAAGGAATGCTGGAGGCTAACAACAGGAGCAGCCAAGTGCAGGGGGACGAAGAGTAACCAGGAACTCTTTATTTTCCTATAAACTTCCTAGACACTCTGAAATCAGCCATTGAAAACCCAACGGAGCACAATTCTCCCGACACGCACGAGGTTGAAACTGGCTCCTGGGCGCTGGTACTGGTATAAACACGCCCACCAACATGCTTTCTTTGATTATCAACCTTTCATTCTCTGAGGATCATCACTCCCACAATCGCATCAAGGTTTCCAGGGCTTACCGGCATAGGCTACAAACATCATGAAGAGTGAAAATATACATTGGAAAGTCAAAACAAAGCATTAAGTGTGAAACCTCCAAACATCTTGCTGAAGAATGAAAACAAGCATTAAAGACTTTAAAGCAATATCATAAATCCTAGGGTGTGTGAGCACACATCTTTCAAAGTGAGAGTGCTTTTCAAGGTGGAAGTGCTCTAAAATGTCAACGAATCCCATTATCCAGATAATACTTTTTTTTCAATGAAGAAACTCAAGTAGAAAAGTAATAAAAATATAAAAAATAAAAAAATTTTAAAAAAGAAAAGTAATAAAAAACTGCTCTTACACAGGTCAATTTAATTTACTCTATAATTACTATATAAAGTGACATTCATATTTCTAGAAAAATAAAACCAATATTACATGAGATACGAGTTAAGTGACGCATTTCCCAAATTTTTTTCTGAGGCCAACACACAAGACCAGGCAAAAGCAATATGGGAAAGGAAAACCGAAGACCATAGTTTTGTCCTATCACCTCCTTTTCTTAAAAAAAATTACTACTTGCCTCTGGCAATTGAAAACTTTTGTAGTAGAGCCCATAATGCAGGATAAAGTAGAGGTGTTCCCTTTTGCGGTTCCCCTGGATTGGTTCAGAAGCTCCCAAGGGGCAGTATACTGCTGTAGACCAATATACTTCATGACCATTTATGCTAAAGTCCGTAACGAAACATGAGCAAAGTAAATCTAACAACATTTAAAAGGGATCACCATGACCAAGTGAGGTTTATTCTAGGAATTCAGGGTATTGAACAATGTTCAAAGCTAACCAAAAAAACCTATTGTCTGGAGTGGGTGGTAAAGACTGGCAGGAGCTGATAGCCAGTCTACAGAAACAAAACCAGCGACATAGATGGGTAAGCTCAGGCGCCAAGCTCACTGCCATCAAGTCGGTGCTGACTCACAGCCACCCTATAAGACAAGGCAGAACTGCCCCTCTGAGTCTCTGAGCCTGTAACTCTTTAAGGAGTGGAAAGCGCCACCTTTCTCCTCCGGAGCAACTGGTGGTTTCAATCTGCTGACCTTGCAGTTAGCGGCTCGGTTTACTACCACTACCCCACTAGGGACCCCATAGGTATACAAAAGAACTTTATATCATGAAGGAATTTTGTATCCGGAAGGCATCCCAGCCCAGGTCCACTCAAGTCCAGAGCCTTTTCAGACTCACATAGCTGCAGGCCAGTGACACAGGCACGCGGAGTGGGAAGCATGGAGACCACAGGCCAGGGGGTACACAGTCATGAGGACCCAAGGTTAGTGGAATCATGGCAGGGTGCCAACAGTTCAGAGTTGGGCTCCCAGGGTCAGCGGCCCACATGGGGCCACCCAAGGAGGCAGAAACAGTCCTAGCAAGCAGGAAAGTGAAGGGAGAGACAGAGACAGAGACAGAGACAGAGAAACTGAATGATTGATTCTCACTACCTTCCAAAAGGCTATACTCCCAAGTAGGCAACATCAGACTGTGACCTGACTGATAGGTTAGACTCCACCTTTCACACAGGTGCAAGCTGACATAAAAACTAGCTGCCACATATAATACAGAAAAAAGGAAAAAGCTAATGATTATTTTAAAATATATAGTTGACAAAATTCAACACCTTTTCATGATTAAACAAAATAAAATCCACGATTGGCAAAACAGTAATACAGGAAATATTTTAAATCTGATTTTTAAAAATACCATAAAAAACTTCTAAGCAAACCTATCCTAGCATCATACCTAATCGTAAAGCATTAAAATCTTTCCCTCAAAATCAGGAACCAGGTAAGGATGGCTGCTGTCACCAGTCCCATCCACATTATACTAGAGGTTCAACCACTGCAGTAAGACAAGGGAACAAAGGAAAGAAAGAAATCTTTTTACTCAGAGTTGAAATAGTGGTTTATGCAGAAAACTCTACAGGATCTATAAAATAACAACAGGAAAATACTAAGTGAATCTAATACGGGCACAGGATGCAAAGCCAATATACAAAAGTCAAATGTATACGTATATACTAGTGGCAAACAATAAACCAAACGCACTGCAAGTCACAGCAGCATTACATAGGGTCTTGGAGGTTGTAAATCTTTACAGGAGCAGATAGACTCATTCTCCCAAGGAGTGGCTGGGGCCCACTTTGGGTTAGCAGCCTAGTAATAATCTTTTAAAAAGGTGGATGAA